TAGAGACTAAGACCCAAAATAGCCGTGGATAGCAATGCAAAGAGCCATGTATTATATATTTATTTTTATAGATCTATAAAGGCCTAAGCCCCCCCCCACCCCACCTCCCCGCTATAATCCAATGCACTCTCCTCTTCCCCAGAGCCAGGCACCTCCCAGCAAGGGATATTAGGGACTAGTCAATTATCTGATAAGCAAATTGCTTATTGGATAGTCAGTCGATTAGTCTATTCTCCCGCCCCTTGCTGCTTCTTTCAGATTGCAGGGGGTACTTCAAAGAAGCAGCACTGCACAGCTGAGCCCAGGATCAGTTGTGCGGCGCTGACAGTGTGGAGCCTGGGGTCAGCTGGGGGACTCCCCAGCTGACCCTGGTTTGGCGTGGCATTTGAAAGTTCCCCGATGACTCAAAGTCCCCTGTTGATCCTGGGCTCCATGCTGCGCTGCCACTTTGAAAAGCACAAGAGCCCCCGCTGGGAGCTCTTGTACATTTCGAAGGAGGAATGCGGACGTGACTATCGACTAGTCGATGGAAATTCCGACTACTCGACTAGTAAAATAACTGATAGTTAACATCCCTACCCCCAGCCCTCCTCTCTCCCAGAGACAGGCACCCCCCAACACAATCCCCCTTGCCTCCCCCCTCTAACCCTCCCCAGAGCCAGGGAGCCCCAGCTGCTTTTATTCTTATCCGGGGTCTCACAGGAGCCACTGCCTCCCAGAGACAGGCACCCCCCAACCCAATCCCCCTTGCCTCCCCCCTCTCACCCTCCCCAGAGCCAGGGAGCCCCAGCTGCTTTTATTCTTATCCGGGGTCTCACGGGAGCCACTGCCACACGCTTTTCCCTCCAGGTGCTGGGGCGCATGGCCACCGTTCCCTGTCTCATAGACTTTAAGGTCAGAAGGGACCATTATGATCATCTAGTCTGACCCCCTGCACAGTGCAGGCCACTTAAATGTTTCCACCCAGTTTCGAACAGGGGACCTTTCGAACAGGGGACCTTTCGCGTGTTAGGCAAACGTGATAACCACTACACTACAGAAACCTCTGTCCAGGGGTGGCTCCCAATGACAGTCGAACCTTCCCTTGACGGCAGGTGCTGCCCCCTCCCTGAATCCCAGCCATTGCTTGTGTTTTCAAAAAGCCAGCGGAACAAACGAGGACAGGTCCGGAAAACCCTTCTGCCGCGTTTCTATGAGCACAGAGCCGCATGCAGCTCCAGAGCCACGGGCTGGCCACCCCCGTGCTATGCAGCACTCAGTGCGTGTGTGTATGTGGGGTCACCGCCGACCCAGCAAAGCACGGCATGAAGCGCAGCCAGGGAGCTGAGGGCTGCTTGCTGCTCTGCCCAGCTCCTGACAGGCTCCCCTTCACTTTGTTCAAGCGCTTTCAGCGGCACACGTGCGCCTGCATGTGTAGGTGGGCACTGGGGCTGCGTTTTGCTCGTTCCCCTTATTGGTAGCAAACCGCCCGGGGGCTCAGCCAGCCTCCGCTCCTCTTCAGCAATCAACTTTCGTCTCCCTTTTCCCTCGAGAGGCTTCGTGCAGCCGGGCCATCCATCTTCGGGCAGGCTCTCGGCAGTGTCAGGCCGCCCCCAAGAGGAGAAAGATTCCCAGGGCCGCTCTCGGGAAGGCTTCAAAGCCCCCTTTTATTAGTGTGTGTGAAACCGCCCGGGGGCTCAGCCAGCCTCCGCTCCTCTTCAGCAATCAACTTTCGTCTCCCTTTTCCCTCGAGAGGCTTCGTGCAGCCGGGCCATCCATCTTCGGGCAGGCTCTCGGCAGTGTCAGGCCGCCCCCAAGAGGAGAAAGATTCCCAGGGCCGCTCTCGGGAAGGCTTCAAAGCCCCCTTTTATTAGTGTGTGTGAAACTTGGGGGGGGGGCTGCCTGGTAGCTCCAGTCGGAGGGTTGCAGGAGGCAGCAGACAAAAGAGGCGGAACTACGTGGCTTCAATTCAAAAGGGGAGCTCAGTCTTCTTGCAAAAAGAAAGCTCCCGTCGGTGCAAGGCAGGGAGCGGGGGGGGAGTAGCTGCCGCGCAGGGCCGAGCCCGGGCAGGGGTCCCGCCGCAGCTGAGGGGATGACACATGCCTGCGGCGCCTGCTCCGCCCGCCCTTTCGCCGTGGCCAGTCCCTGTCCACGGACAGGACAGGTCGGGCCCCTGAGAGAGTCGGGCCCGGCGGGGCTCTGCTGGCTTCTTGCAATGGCTCCGGTGAGAGACGTGGGAGCCGCACGCATCTCCACGGAGCCGCCTCCTGCCCTTGGCTGCTGCGTGTGAACCCGCTCCGGCCAGCCCGGGCCATGCGGGGCGCCTTCGCCTGCCAGCGGCTGAGGCTGAAGCTCTGGAGGAGATGCGCGCTCCTCTTCCTCCTCTGCTGGGCGGCCGGCTGGCTGGTGGGCAGCTCCTTCCTCTTCCTTGTGCACAGGAGCGTCTTCTCCGAGCGCTGCACGGACGAGGGAAGCCACCGGATCCTGGCGAGTGTGCCCAGGCGCGCTGGCAGAGGGAGGCTGGCGAGGCGAAGCAGCAGCACAGCCCGGGGCACGCCGCGCTCAGCGCCAGAGCCCGAGGGCACTTTGGCGCCCTCACACGCGCGGCGCGGGGAAGGGGGAGGGAGGGTGTTTGCATGTCCGTCTGTCTGTCTGTCTGTCTGGTGAGCTACAGGCGCGTGTTCTCCTGCACTGAGCTGTCCCAATGAAACCAACCCGCAGCCTCACTCTACCCACCGGGGGAAAACCAGGGTCACTGAACAGGCAACATGGGGGCAGAATGGTTCTTGCTTTTAGGGGATTAAAAGAGGCAAAGGGTGAAACGTCCCGAGTTTTTAATGGCTGGTTTTTTAAACGCATAGTATGTCCTTGGCCGCATTAGATTTTAACGTGTTCATTTTTCCTTCATGCAAAATATGGTCCACGCATGGTTCTTTGGACGACAGAGTATTGGTATTGGGAACTGATGCAAGGATACTGAGTCAGTGACTGTGTCAATGGGAAAGACCAGGACCTCTGGCTGATGGAGTTAGCTGACAGGAAAGCTTCACGGCGTATATGGGAGAGAGCAAAGCAGCTGAAAGGGGGAATGGGCTAAAGAGCTACCCACTTGCAAAGGCTTTACAATGCTGCCTTGCATGTTACTCCTTGTACCTGGCAGGTAATATCAATTCTACAAGACAGAACAACTTAAGTGGTGGGACTAAAACATTTCTAAATCATCTTCTAATGGGCTTTAAAAGCTGGAGGAGCAAAGGTTTGGGAGTTAAAACATCTCCAGCCCTTCTTTGGTGCTATAAAACAAGGTGGTTTCATATTTTCAGTTAGCTGATCCAAGATGTTGCTGTTTGAGTTAGGTGTAACTAGACTTCTAAAATATTTCAGAAAGGGGTTCTTCAACATTCACATGCATTCAAATATAATTGACATGCATCTGACAAAGTGGGTCTTTGCCCAGGAAAGCTTATGCTCCAATAAATCTGTTAGTCTATAAGGTGCCACAGGACTTCTCCTTTATGCAGATTCAGACTAACACAGCTACCAGTCTGATACTTGTCAAATATTAAGTGATTTCTCTACAAGCTTTAGGCAAAGATCACATTCTATTCATAAATCAACTACAGATTAGGGTACACCATATATTTTTTTCCTGAGAGGGAAAATTTAAAAATGTTTATAAAATAATCAAGAAAGCCTGTGAGAATGAATATTCAGTCAAATGTGATTTGAAATTCTGCAGAAAAATGGAGCAGGGTGGCTTAAAATAAAATAAAAAAACGGGAAATTTTTTAATGGCTTGGGTTAAGTGGAAAAAAATCAGAATGGAAATTAAATAATCTATTATAGTAGCAAGCAACTGCTGATCATAAATTTTCCTAAGTTCTAGATAATTAAGGAAGACTTATACACCGCAGTCTTGCCAACTTATTTTAAATGCCAATATCTACATTCACATTTTTATCCCAGAGCCTGAGTCTTCAGATTTCAGGGATGAGCCATTAGGACAGTTGTCTCTCCCAGTGTTTGTCCAGACCCCAGAGTGGACTTAAGTAGCAAAGAGATATCTCCAGCCCATTGGTTGAACTTGATGGGAAAATTTCTCCAGCTAGAACCTGAACAAGGATTATCATTGTCTCAATGACTGTACCAAGTGAGCCAAAAGGGAGCAACTTCCTGGTGGAGCCAATATTAACTAAGCTCGTCTTCTAGTAGCTGGGAGTTGCTCTTTGTGTATTTTCAGAGTACTACACTTGGTTTCACTACTAGAGGCAATGCAATCCAACTACAGAATAACTCCTTTGTGAAGCAGAGATCTTCCTTTCAAGAAAACATACTTTCCCAACATTTCATTCCATCCTTTTCTTGAAGCATAGGGCATATTTGGTGATATGGAAAATATGAGAATAGTGTTTTCAGTGGGAGACAAGAAAAAGTTCAGAGAAGGGCAACAAAAATGATAAGGTAATTGGAACAGCTGCCATATGAAGAGAGATTAAAAAGACTGGGACTTTTCATAATAGAAAAGAGGAGACTAAGGGAGGGATATGATAGAGGTCTATACAATCATAACTGGTGTTGAGAAAGTGAATAAGGAAAAGTTATTTACTTGTTCCCATAAGATAAGAACTAGGGGGTCACCAAATGAAATTAATAAATAGCAGGTTTAAAACAAACAGATTGAAGTACTTCTTCACGCAATGCACAGTCAACCTGTGGAACTCCTCGCCAGAGGATGTTGTGAAGGCCAGAACTTTAAAGGGTTAAAAAAAGAGCTCTATAAATTCATGGAGGATAGGTCCATCTGAAGAAGTAGGCTGTGCCCACAAAAGCTCATGATACCATCTACATGTTTTGTTAGTCTATAAAGTGCTACCAGACCATTTGTTGTTTTTTAAGTTCAGTAATGGCTATTAGCCAGGATGGGCAGGAATAATGTCCCTGGCCTCTGTCAGAAGCTGAGAATGGGTGACAGGAGAGGGATCACTTGATTGCATTGGCCACTGTTGGAAGACAAGATACTGGACTAGATGGACCTTTGATCTGACCTAGTATGGCTGTTCTTATGTTCTTAAGATGAAAATGATGTAGTCTAATGGGCAAGGTTACTTGTGATCCTTACCATTTTGTAGTAGTGCATTTTAAATTCTCTGAGTGAAATTCAGACGTCAGCAGAGGACAGGTACAAGACACAAACATCACTTCAGTAGCGTCTAGGGTGGTGCATATACTTTAAACATCACCGTGGAGTGTAGGACTTCCTATTTATTATTATTGGTCTCCCATTCATTCCCTTCAGCCCTACCCCCATCACTATTCTGATTATGCTACATCACTTTGTAGTTGGTTTCTGTGCTCATTGCAGGACTTCTCTGGCTTTGGTGTCTTCTGTAAACTTGCTCACTGTTGAATTTACTCCAAAGAAATATGTGACAAGAAAGAGAAGAGGCCTCAATCCTGATCTACACACAAAGTTGCACTCATGTAACAAAGTGTGATTTTAAACACGTTTAACTAAATTGGTGCAAAATCCCCTGTGGGCTCTTTTGCACTGATTTGACTGGCTTATTGGGTTAGCTTGCATGGGTAACTTTGCAGGTGGTAGATAATTGATATAACCAGATTTAAATAGATATAAATAAACCTAGTTCATAGGAATGGTTGAACTTTTAAGTAAAATAGTTTTAACTACTGATTTTAAATTGCTGCAATTTCTGTGTATAGACAGGTCCTCAAAACTTGCAGAGACGTACTTGGGATTTTTTGGTTTGTTTGATATGGTTTTAGTTTAATCGGACAAAAAAAGCCTTGGAATCCCTGCTTCCTACAGCTGATCTACAACTAGCCTGAAGTCTGACACATATTTCACCACTGTGACATTAGCATCTCCCCAGGTACTAGTGACTTCTGGACCAACCTTTAAGAAACACTATGAAAGTTCAGTAAAGATTAATCAAATTGGAAAATGCTGGCAGATGTTAGGTTAATAGGCAGATCATCCAATTCACTGAGATAGACGGTAAAGACTTAAAAATATTCCTTGCAAATTACTGAATGGATTCATCTCCTATGTTTAGTGGTTGTAGATGTGGCTGTATATTTTTCACAGTCACTTTTCATGAAATACCAATAAGGATGATACAGCAGCTACAGAAGATTGGGGAAAGCATATTGTGGTTTTCCATGTTTCCTTGCTGGGACAGTTTCCTAATAGTAGCATTGCCAGGGTTAGGCTCTGAACTTCATATTCAGGAAGCAAAGTTCTTTGATAAGCTAATACTAAAGCTTCTTTAAAAAAAGAAGGGGAGGGAGAGGTTAGTGTGTTACCCTCCTTGGAGTTGTTTAAAGATAAGATCACAGACTGTAGGAATTATGAAATTACTCCAGCAAAGAAAATGTAAGTTTCTTACATGTAAGAGAGAATGATGACTAAGGATACTTCAAAAATGAAGTCAGAATTTCAAAATTGCACATGCATTTCTGGGGTCACCAAAGTTACATATATGTGGACTGTAATGTGTGTGTGTCCATCCTGATTTGCATGCACATACAGTATATATGTGGGATGATACAAAATATATATGTAGGATGATACAAAATCAGGGCATGAATATGAACATCAGAGTTTTTGGTTCTTTTTTCTGGCATCTATCAATTTTGGTGAGTGTTTAAAAAAAGACATTTTTATATTCAACTTTCAACCTTGTGCAGCACAGGAGCATATATACTGTTTTAAGACAATAATGGCATTTCAATGTTATGATTATGTTTCCTGTATGCAAAACAAATAGTAACAGGTTAGGTTGTGGTCAGGCAGTCTTTTCAACTATTAAACAATTAGAAGTGTCAACTGACCTGATTAAAGGAAGTATGAATGCCATAAAGCAATGAGGAAGGCTGATGCTATCAAGTAACCTCCCAGCTGTTTGGCTTCCCTCCTCAACACAAACTGTACTCCCTCCACCCCACCTCTGTGGTCATCTCCTCCCCTGATCCATCCCAACAGTCTCTGCAGCTGCATTTCTGGAAGTTCTAAATGGATGCAGAATTATGTAAGCTGTCTACATGTCTGGAAGTGGAGGAATGGGAACAATTATGGGTGGGTATCCTTTTAGTTCTTTCAAGTATTTGTAGTGACCACACAACTATCAAATAGCAATTTCCTGCGGTTTTTAAAATCCAGACTACCCAAAGTGCATTAAAATGATCTAAGGATATTTGATATGTACATACATACATTTTAAAGCATGTTAATTTGCCTGAAAGACCTTAATTGAAGCAGCCTTTATACATTCTGCCTTACAGAATGTATAAATATATTTGTTTTTATTGCATATTCTGGGCTCCATAGATTGTATCTGCTGCAGTCACCTATATTATATTATTGTGGGCAAAGATAGCTTTTAATATCCTTTTTCATATTGGCCACCTTCTGAGTACCTCATGAGCCCTTATACCGAGCATATTTGGGAGTGTGACTGGTCTTGGAAGGGCAGATCGGGTGTGAGGCAGAGGCACCAATAATACTGTGGAGATTCAAGGCAGTGCTGCTGCCCATAAGGACATGAGCACAGACTGCCATAGTTTAGCTAGGGCTGTATAAACTATCCTGGGGTGTCAACAAAAGTATCAAAACCTGACCCACAGAAATTAGAGATGGCAAATACCTAGTGTTGTAGGTCATCTATGCTAGCCCATTACCAGTCCAGAAAAAAACGGTCCCTCTACTTTCAACCACGCCTTTTAAGGGATCTCCAGCTTTACCCAAGAGTTTAAATATGGTATTTGTCACATTGTAACTGAGATGATCCTTACTCCCTTTTCCTTTGAAAGACTCTTAGACTATATTTATCTGTTGCATACTGTTTTCTTCCTTTGCTCTAGTGTCTTGACTACAGCAAAGGAGTCCTGACTGGTGATCTTTGTGAAGACCTGTGTGTGGCACCGAAGCTGGTGTACAAACAGTGCCTTTATTATGACAGAGGTAAGAAGGTCATCCAAGCGGACTGGGAAGGTCAGCCAGTCATCTTGAAATCCAAAAAGGGAATCTTCTCTAGCTACCAGCCCCTCAGATTGCTTCATGAAGTGGAAACACAGGAATTGCCCGAGGCAGAACTCCTGATGATGGTAGCCTTGGAGGTAAAAAATGTCCTGGGTTTGGAGCTATCTAACAATACCATGGGACCTTTATGGACTAGACAGAAAGGTATACATTGGAAAGCACAAGTGGCCAGCATGTGGTCCTTACTCCAGCAGGAAGAATATATCTACTTTAGTCTACTGCAGGACTTCAGCAAACACGTCCTACGGGTCATCGGCTCCTGTGGCCACTTCTATGCTGTGGAGTATCTCATAGCTGGACATGCCTGGCATAAAACCATTTTTCCTTTGGAGGACACAGTTGGACCCTCCTTCACCAACACTAAAAGCAAGGTGAAGGCAATCACTGACATTGCACTCAGCTTCCTAGATATGGTGAATCATTTTGATAATGATTTCTCTCACCGGCTTCATCTGTGTGATATCAAGCCGGAGAATTTTGCAATCAGAAATGATCTCACGGTAAGTTACTGCTTTTGTTGTGTTGTCCCACTATAAGACCGAGCTGAAAAAATAGTATGAAAAAAATGCCACTTCTCCTCATCTGAGCTGCTTCCTGAGCGTATTGGGAATCTAGTCACTTATATTAGCAATTAAAAAGCTACTTTTTGGTAAACTCAAACGGGCAAAGAGAGAGAGAGTTGAGTTCTGTTCTTTCTTGTGTGTGATGACAATAACTATTTAATAATTATAATTACTTACACCTGTGCAACCCCACTTAAGGATTGCTCAGGTGTTGCCGAAGACGCTACTTGAAGGCAGTGACTTCGTAGAGCTCTCACAAAGGGTAGAATCTGTCTAACAGAAACTATTGGGGTGGGGAAGAGGTGATGCCCAGGAAGTCAACAACTCTGTCTGAATTTCAGAGAGAAGGCTGAGTTTGCAGGACAGGGGGTTAGAGGAAAAACATATTTTTTGCTTTTACCCTCAGCACATGTAGTCTGGAAACAATTTGAAAGCAACAGATCTGGAACCCTATGATGCCATTCTTGCAGAGTCACCTTTCAACTTTTCAGCATAGAGTTGCTCTTTAAAATTGAAGGATTATATCTGTTTAGCACACAGGTATTGTTAACAAACCCTGTTTCTGGATCTATTTTGCATTGATTCTGAAGGCAGAAATTCAACTGATTTCAGTGGAAGTTGTGTGCATACACTGATGACACTATATATATGTAGTATGTTCAAACCATATGTGCGGTTTCCAATGAGATTAATGAAATTTCTGCACTCATAGTGAATGTAAAATAGTTACAGAAATATGATTGGTTATAACAATACTTACTACGCATTCACATAACATTTACATCTTCAAACTGCTGTACAAATATTACCTAAGCTTATGTCTAAGGAAAGCAATTTGAGTGCTTTCCTCTCACCCTTCAATTAGCTGTTACTGTTTATTCAGCTGCAAGGCATGAGGTAAGTAGGAAATGGTTGGGGGCATTTCAGAGAGAAGCTAAAATGATCCTATCACTTAAGCAGAAGAAGACACTGTGGGAGGTTCCTCGGGATAGGTTTTGCCTACCATATTTTCAGACAGATGCAACATGAAGGTTACACAGTGCTATCATTGGACCTAACTGAGCATCTATATTCAGTTTTGGAGTCTCCTCAGGGGAGAAGATATTTCACTTTTAGTGGAAGATGGTTTTCCTTGATTCCTGCCCACCCTTTAGGTGTTCACAATGCCAGGACTCTCCCTGCCTGAGGAGAGCTGGACATGGCTCTTTCTGGTGCCTGGCAATGTCAGTCACGAGTGGTTAGTGGAATTTTCTAAAAAGTAACATTGTGAGAAAATGATGGTAGCTTGATATTGCCTTTGCACTCCTTTTTTGGGCTAGGCCAGGATTCAAGAGTCAGCCCAGTAAGCAAAGAGGCTCGCCAAAGTTGAAATTATAAATCAGAAAAAGGGTTTGGGTCTGACCTTGCAAGTTTTCACTGATGAGATGATCTGTTACACAGCAATCTCAACAAAACCAGCGTCTCTTTGTGAGAGTAATGATGGCTCCCAGGAGTAAGGGGTTGGATAAGCTAAGCTTAAATGTCCTTTTATGTGCTAATTATTCTCTGTATGTTATAAGCAAATCATTTTTTATCTTGCCATTTTTTTCTATTCTACAATAGACTAATAATAATATTGAGACAACACCTAGAAAGAGATCCCTTCCATCCCCACCTGAGCAAGATCCTCAGTGCTCACTTCAGCTCCACATGCAACTTCTTCGATGCATAGTGCCTGAGAAGCTGCCTTAATAGAGCAGCTAGGGAAAATTTCAGCTTGCTCACAGGTGATGAAGCCATCTCTTTGCCACTCCCTTTCTATAGGGGAGATGGACAAAGGCATGGAACATGTTGCAGTCCTGTGATGCTTGCCACCATACCAGAACCTGGGAGGCCACTATGAGTCAGCATAGGTTACAACAGTTCTGAGGCAGCTTTAATTTATGCTAGGAGTCAAACTGGCTCCTGGTTACCCTGTGGACCAGGAGGGCACATTGCCCTGGCTCTTACACATGTGACGAGCAATAACATTGATTTCCCAATATATTTTTAACAGCAAAATTACAGAAGGCACTCCTGACTAACAAAATAGACACATTTCTAGTATCTGCTTGCATGAACTTGTATCCTGGGAAATTTCACCTCACTCTTACCAAGCTTTCTAAGAAGCTTAAAGATTCTTGGAGTTAAAAGGCATATTTAGTTTCTCTAAGATCTGAGCATTTCTCATGGGGAAAACATTGCAGAAATTAGGCTCTGTCCTTGACTTTGGATTGGAAGGTCCATATGGCCTTCTGCCACATGCATCCATCTGAAATTTCTAGGGTTACTCCAGTTGCCACTCAGCCACACATTTCAGCTCTGTTGCTCTTTAGTTCTGTAATTAACATCCCCCCACATAGAGTAATTGCAAAGAGCTATGCTTTGTCCATTTTCCAAATATTTCCCTCTGCACCAATTTACTACTTGTGTAATGGGCAGGCTTTGCTAAGTGAAGGTTTATGTTGTGAGACGTTAAAGTTGACTGTAACTCACGGCATTCACAGAAGTATGACTTTTTTCACATCTCTGCCCACACTGTAGGTGCTATAGAAAGCAGCTGTCATTACACAGATGGCTTTCATTTTTGTAATTTTTAAGTGTAAGGAGCTATATTGATAACCCTGGAGGCCTAAATCAACTACCCACACAACAGTTATAATTAAAAATACCTGCAGAAGGCATGCAGTCCTTTTTGCATTGGCTTGATTCTGAACTGGAGTGGCAGAACTCTGGAGGTCAAATGATAGTTTAGGCTTCACATCCATTCAGTTCCTTATTCTCTCTGCTGACCATCAATCAGTTGTGGAACATGTTTCTAGATGGGCATAGGGTGAGCCGTGAATGTCCCCTGATGACATGAATGCCTATTCAAGGAGCAGGCATCCTTCTGAAAACAGCACATAGAGGAGGGAGTGACACTGGGTTATCATTACTGGAACTACTATTAGTTGAGTGAAGTCAGGCCCACTCACCCCCAGACAGGAATTTTACTCATTGAGTTTGAAGTGTTAGCCAGATATCTTATACATGGGGGCTACGTCTAGACTAGCATGATTTTCCACAAAAGTTTTCCGTTGAAAGCATTTGCGGAAAAGAGTGTCTAGATTGGCATGAAGCAAAATGCAGGACAATGTAGCACTTTAGAGTCCATGCTAATCTAGATGCCCTTTTGTGCAAAAAAGCCCTGATCGCCATTTTCACGATCAGGGCTTTTTTGCGCTAAACAAATCTGAGCTGTCTACACTGGCCCTTTTGCGCAAAAGCTTTGCACAAAAGGACTTTTGCCTGAATGGGAGCAGCATAATATTTCCGCAAGAAGCACCGATTTCAGACAGTAGGAAGTCAGTGTTCTTGCGGAAATTCAAGCGGCCAGTGTAGACAGCTGGGAAGTTTTTCTGCAAAAGCAACTGCTTTTGCAGAAAAACTTGCCAGTCTAGACACAGCCGGGCTGTTTCTGTTAAAAACAATTAGTTTTGCAAGACTCTTTCTGCCCAGCTGATACCAGAAATCTAGTTTATCACAGATACTTATTTGCCCCTCCCCCAGTTTGGGAGCACCTCACAACTTTTAATGTCTTTTATCCTCATAAAACCCCTGGGTGGTTGGAAAGTGCAATCATCTAATTTTAGATGGGAGCTGAGGCACAGAATGGCCGAATGGCTTGCCAATGCACACACCGTAAATCTATGGCAGAGGAGGGACTTGAATTTTAGTATTCCATGACCTAAGCTATTGTCTGAGGGTACGTCTACAGTTGCTCCCTAGTTCGAGCTAGGAATGCAAATGTAGGCGACCGAAATTTCTAATGAAGCGGGGATTTAAATATCCCGTGCTTCATTAGCGTGATCTCGCTGGCGCGTTACTCCTCTCAACAGCTGATTCGAACCAGGAAGTGCTGATTCCAACCATTTTTTTTATGAGTAACGTTAGTCCGAACCAAGGGGTTTGGTTCGAACTAACGTGTCCCAGCACGCATTTCCTGGTTCGAATCAGCTGTTGAGCGGAGTACCGTGCCAGCGAAATCATGCTAATTAAGCGCGGGATATTTAAATCCCCTCTTCATTAGCAATTTCGGTCACCTACATTTGCATCCCTAGTTCAAACTAGGGAGCAAGTGTAGACGTACCCTGAGTAACTGGCCTAGTCTGCCCATCTTCTTCTGATTCTAATTCTCTATTAGGAGGGTCACAGCTGCTGCTTTTTGAAGGAAAGAAAGCAGCAAAGTGACACTGAAGAGTTGCATTCTTCAGTGCATGTGTCACTTCTGATGTGTTTATTTGATCACAGGTTGTCGCCATTGATGTAGATATGGCCTTTTTTGAACCTAAAATGAGGGACATCCTGGAACAGAATTGCACTGGAGATGAAGACTGTAATTTTTTCGATTGCTTCTCCAAGTGTGATCTGAGAATCAAAAAGTGTGGGGCAGAAAGGGCCAACAACAACTTGCAAGTGAGTAGCTACAGATTTATTATGTGCACGTTTCCTTTTGAAAAAGGCCAGTCAGAGGCAGCTAAAGAAAAAAAACATATGGCATGAACCAAAGCCATGTGAGGTACATTCATCAAACCCAGGTTTCAAAAGTGGCTGCCTCAGTTACATGTACAAACCTATCTTTGTGCATGCAAGCTGGCCCTAACATTCACTGCTCCCTTTTGGCATGTGTAATGTCTGTTTGCGGGGGGAGGTGAGGGGGGGGGGTGGGATTGAGGGGCCCAGTTCTCTACAAATCTCAACTGTGCTCAGATTTAGTGTGGAGGGGGTGGCCACAGGGCTCCAGTTCCTTGATTCCAGGGCAGCTGGCCCTGGGGCAAGACATCCTGCTCCAGCTTATCTTGCTGACAGTCAGAGGGTCCGGTGGTGGCAGAGCTCAGCTATGCTATATTCCTCCTGCCTGCTTTTCCCTTGTGTGTGAGACACGGTGAGCAAAGTAAAAGGGAATTCTCCACCGGGAAACTCAGGCTTGTTCAAGCCACAGTACTACAGAACAGAACAAAGCAGCCTGGGAGAATCTAGGCTGTCAGCTCCAGTTTAGGCAGCCTCTTCTGAAAACTGGGCTGAGTGTGAGAAGAGAAAAATTACTTGTCTGCACAGTTAGTTTTGAAAGATAAGAGGAACTGTAATGGGAACTACAGCATATGGTGGTCTTGTGCATTGTCAGTGCCTAGTAACTAATAGTAACAGAGGCAAAATGGCAATACAAGATACAACTAAAGGCAGTCCCTGTCTTCTTCACTTTGCTATTAGGTCACAAGTGAAGTGAGTTAGGTTTCCTCCACCTGATCCTTAGTGGGCATTTGCCCATAGCTTACCTCAAAAGCCTACCAAACACAGCTCAGCTACACAGGGTGACCCATGCTGGGAATGGATAGGTACGGCCAACGTGGATTAAGTAGGATGGCCAAGGATAGCTTGCAGAGTGCCGCATGCACTGTACTTTGCTTTTAGCAATGTTAGAACTCAGCTGAAGCAATAGCTTGTACAGTTGACAGTTACCAAGAGGCCCTTCAGAAAGATAATCTGCTCTTTTACATTTCCACAGGTCATCTGTGACAAAATATTCCGTCACTGGTTTTCTCCAAGTCTCAGGGGACCCACAATCTCCTTCCCGCTGCAGCTGCAATTGCAAAAGGCTGTCCATGAATGTGCCAAACCAGGGCCCACGGACTTGAAACACCAGAAAACATCTTTGAATTCTCTGTCTGAATTATATCATTTGCTGCAAGCCAGTCAAAGAGAACTTCAAAAAGCAGATGGTTAGCCCTGTGCAAACCACTCATAATGATGACATGTAAAAATCACTGTCAGCATTCTTTCTCTGTCTCTCTCTCTACCCATCCACATCCAATATATTAATTTTGACTGTGTACAGGTTGGGTTTTACTATGAAAATGAAACTCATGATTGTAGACACAGTGAATGTTATTAATCCCCTTTGAAGGATGAAATTGTTTTATGTTGTATGAAAACTCTTCTTGCTTGTTTCTTTGTAGTTGCCCACTGACATTCCGC